AGTAATAGAATATTGGACAGCATTATCAGAGGTTAGTAATAGAATATTGGACAGCATTATCAGAGGTTAGTAATAGAATATTGGACAGCATTATCAGAGGTTAGTAATAGAATATTGGACAGCATTATCAGAGGTTAGTAATAGAATATTGGACAGCATTATCAGAGGTTAGTAATAGAATATTGGACAGCATTATCAGAGGTTAGTAATAGAATATTGGACAGCATTATCAGAGGTTAGTAATAGAATATTGGACAGCATTATCAGAGGTTAGTAATAGAATATTGGACAGCATTATCAGAGGTTAGTAATAGAATATTGGACAGCATTATCAGAGGTTAGTAATAGAATATTGGACAGCATTATCAGAGGTTAGTAATAGAATATTGGACAGCATTATCAGAGGTTAGTAATAGAATATTGGACAGCATTAGCTTGGATTGTGCATCCATTATTGACAGTGACCTTGAGAATAATAAAGTGCTAATTGTAATATTTTTTAAGGTTCACTCATCTGAATCGTCCAGTCATCAAAGCATTGGTACAGAGAACAACAGCACAGAACAGCATATCAGTACAGAACAGACCTCACAACCAGCAGGACGATGGGGACAGGTACATGATGCACTCTGAGAATTATGTTTTGTATTTTGATTATTAAACATGTCTCATCATGACATTTGTAGAATCGATCCGACAGTTTGACACTGACAACCACTCTGACTAGCAAATCTATTCCATAGATTGTGCACAATTGAATGTCCTATTATTGACATCCTCTTGACATTGTAAAATGTTTCCAACTCAAGTGGTATCACGAACATGACATAAAGGAATTCTCACAACTGTTGTAAAATAGTAATTATGATTATTGTAATTATCTGTGTTTGTTGTTTAGAGAGCAGGTAATGTAGAACTCCATGTAGTAACAGAAAAAAGTCCACAAAGACCTGTATCCCTACCACTAGACTTATCGTCACCAGGTATGTACACTTCCTACAGAACAAAAACTACACCAATMGTGGTGAATACTCTACATKAGAAAATAACTATMAACTCACCAAACCATTTGAAGGTGCTATTTTCATGCACATGTTTCTAATTTTTTTAATATAATTAYTGTATCTATTCAACAGAACGGAAAAGGTTCTCTACAGGAGCCTGGCAGGAGCAAGTGGATGTTCTCTCTAAGAGTGTGAGTACA